CGAGCTTGCCTTTCTTCCCTGCCTTTTGAAGGGCCTCTGCTTTCTTCATGATTTTGACGTCCTCCAACAATTCTGTAGGCTTCTCTCGTTAGTGCTCAATGCCTCAGATTTGTTCTTGAAGTTCAGGTGGGATAGACTCAGCCCTATTTTGGCTCCTGTGGACTTGTTTTTGTTTTCTTCAACTGCAACCTGAACTTACATAGAGCAATTGATGGTTTATTTTGGCCCCCCGGCCTGGTTTCAGCTGCTGCTGCCGAGCTTCTCCATCATCTCTTTCCACAGCCATAGTCAAGTTGATTTCTGTGTATTCCAGCTGAGAAGTCTACATATAGTTACTGCCTTTTGTGTCATTGATAAAAGGTATTTGCTATCAAAAAGTCATTGGTGTTGCAAAATTCCATCATGTAATATCTAGCTTCATGTCTATAACCATGACCATGTTTTCCAACTACTGTTCCTTCTTTGCATCAAATTATCAATGCACCTTGATTGTAGTGTGGATCAATTTCAGACTGAAGATGGTAGAAATCTTCAATTTCTTCATCACTAGCATTAGTGGCTGATGAATATCAGTGGAATAATGGCTTCGTTGACTGGATTTCCTTGTTTGCAGACGGATCTTATCCTTTCACAGAGAGCACTGTATTTCTTTTTGTTGTTGTTTTAATTTATTTATTTAAATCATTTTATTGGGGGCTGGTACAACTCTTATCACAATCCACACATCCATCCACTGTGTCAAGCACATTTGTACATTTGTTGCCATCATCATTCTCAGAGCATTTGCTTTCTGCTTGAACCCTTGCTAACAGCTCCTCATTTCCCCCTCCTCCCCCACCTTCCCTCCCTCATGAACCCTTGATAATTTGTTATTAGTATTTTTTCATGTCTTACACTGACTGGTGTCTCCCTTCACCCACTTTTCTGCTGTCCATGCCCCTGGGAGGGGGTTATAGAGAGATCATTGCGATCGGTTCCCGACAGCGTTGTATTTCTTTTTTTTTTTGACAGCGTTGTATTTCAAGATAAATCTTGAGATGTCCTTTTTGCTGATGCATGCAACGCCGTTTCTCCTGATTGGGTCATTCCTGGCAGAGTAAACCATAAGCTTTTCTGATGAGAAATGGCCAATGTCAGTCCACGGATGCCTAGAATGTCCCTCTGCAGGTGGTCCATTTCACTTTTCACGGCTTCTGATTTCCCTAGATTTATACTTCGTACATTCCAAATTCCAATTATGAATGGACGTTTACAGTCGTTCTCCTCCTTCGGAGTTGTGCCCGTCAGCAACCAACTGGCTCTACTCCTGCGGGCTGTGCTCCTCTGCTTCATGAGGCCGACTCCCCCTGAGAAGGCAGCTCTCCCTCAGCCGTACCCGAGGGGCTCCTCTCCTGGCCTCGTCTCTGACAAGGCTCTGCTTCTAGGCATGCTGGACGTGCGCTCGCACCTCAGGGCCTCTGCCAGGAAGGGCTTTGCTCCAGAGAGCAGCACGATCACGAGCATCATTCTCTGGCCTTAACCCCGATAGCGACGTCTCAGAGAGGCCGTTCCTGAGACGCCCCCCCACCCCCACCCCTCCCCAGCACTCCTCGTTCCTCTTCCCTGCTTTATCTTCTCCTTGGCACTTGGCACCCCCTAGCCTACTGTAGATTCGATGTGCTTGCTTACCTTTCCCACGCCCTTTCTGGCTCCAAGAATTTCTGGATCTTTGGTTCGCTGTTATAGCCAAAATGGTTCTTGAAACCTTGTTGGTGTTGACCATAGCTGTTGAGTGAATGCAAAAAAGAATGAGAACCGAGTGAGAGTGGGCAGTGGCCTTGGAGGCATATTAAGGGTCGTGCCTCTATCCTGAGAAAAGTTCAAGAGCAGCACGGTTGCATATGGGAAAAGGTGGGGGCTGAGGGGGTAGATTGGCAGGAGCGGATAGACAGGAAGTGGACAAATGCTAAGGCAACCAAAGTCCGGGGCTTTGACAAGGCTGGGGAAACATGGCGGTGGGGAAGGGAAAGTGGATGCATTGACAGGTACTTGGAGCTCAAATCAGTAGACCTTGGGAACAGCTTTGGACATAGCCAGCGAGGGAGTCTGAAGGATTTAGGCTTCTGGCTTGAGCAGCTGAATGGGAATGAAGATCCTAGAGCAGACCGAGCTTGTGAAGCCGGGAGGGGATATCAGGGCTTCATTGGAGCCGCTGGGAGCTTTGAGCTGTCTCTGAAGCATGCAAGAGAAGCCAAGCAGCAGAAGCTCAGAGCAGAGGTCTAGAGCAGAGAGTAAATCTGTGAGTCTCCGAACACAGGAAGCAAGGGAAGACAGCTGAGAGAGGCCACCATGGGGGAGGTGGGGGCGGCTTGAGGGTCAGGGACTGAGGTGTGCTCACATCATCGTTAGGAAGAGGGGGTGCATCTACAGGTGGGGAGACAGTCCGTTCAGAGCTGAGAGAAGGTGGTATCAGGTGGAAAGTCTCCCAGAGGATGAAGTCGTGGACTCTGTTTCTGAAGTTTCTGAGAGGTCAAGGAAATTGAGGCTGGGCAGGACATGGGGCAGGGTGGGGACCCAGCAGGGTCAGCCCATGTGGCCTCCTTGGCTGCCAGGGTTGGTGGTCCCTCAGAGGAGGGAGGGACAGGTGCCAGGCCAGCCTTCTCTAACACACAGTTTCCTTATCTTCTTTTAGTTCTTTGCCTTTATCACCACCCTGCTCTACATCCTCCATGCCTTCAGCATCTACTATCACTGATGAGCCAGGGAGCCAGGCCAGACGGGGACGCCGTGCTCTTAGAAACCTGGAAGATTGAGACCCGAAAGTCACTGCCAATCTTTCCCATCTGGATGTAATCAGAAGACCAACTGTGACGTCCGTGGGATCAGTAGGCCGTGTTTCCGACTGCGTGATCAAACTATACCTTGGCAAAATTTGTTCGGATATTTTCATTCATTCTGTTGAACAAGAAGGGGTTATGATTTTCTCTTTGCCTGGGAGAGTAACTGCCTCGTGAAACGCTCTCACCGTGAACCTAACTCTAGAAAGCTAAACTCCCAAGACCTCACCGTTGAGAATCCACTCAGCTCCTTCGCTGTCCCACCTGTTTGGGGATGATGTGTCAGCAACGGGGTTCCCTAAGTGTAGGGGAACATTAAGTCACCACTGTCCTCCGGTTCACAGCCCGTGTTCCTGCTCCAGAGTTGGGTATTCCGATGTAGAGTAGTGGTTCAACTGGCTTTCCCGACACCCCCACAAGACCACCAGGGAAGCTCCAGGGACAGGCCGCACTGCCCACTGCTATTCATTTCCCCTTCCCTTTCCCGCCAGCCTCGGGACTCAGGGACTATCTGCTTACAATCAGCTTTGGGGGTAGTCTTGTGGTGAAGATAAAAGATCGACTATACAAATTGCTTAGCAAGTAGGGTCTGGGGAGTCCCAGGCTCATGTAACCAGTTATTGGAAGTTCCAGTCCACCCAGAACTGCCTAGTGATCCCCTGAAAAAAACAAACAGCTATTGAAAACCCCAAGGAGCACAGTTAACTACTGCACTGTGAGTTCTTTGAAAGAGAGAACTGGTTGGTAAGGCCAGGGCCAGGGGGAGCGACGAGAGAGGAAAAGTGGGAGTCTTCCTAAGTCAAGCTGCTCAGAAAACTGCCCAGCTCCAATACCCCTGAGCTCGAAGACCCAGCCCCAAGGAAACCTCCTTGTCCTTCAGTAAAGACCCTCGGTGATGGCTACGGGGACATTAGGCCCAAGGATTCTGGTGGCACAACCACGCAGGGGGCAACATCCATGGGACTCATCTCAGCAGGAAGGGACACGATGGCTGTGCCATAAGAACGGTGCTCTTCTCTGCGACCCGAGCTCTCCTTGCCCCCAACAGCTTGGCTGTCGCCACGGTGCTTGATGTCAAACGAATTGCCCCCACCCCCACCCCCACCGCCCAAAGGAAGCTATGCTTTTCAGAGTTCCAGCCAGGATCGCACGTCAGCTGGCCCTCCACCACAGAGCGACTTGCAACTTGCGTTTCTTGTGGCCTCTCCGCTCCATCTCCCGACCCAGGTGGAGCAGGCACAGCTCTGGGGTGCCTATATCTGCTGTCATTTTGAAACGAAATCCATTATGAGAAAGGGACTCAACTTGAACGACTCTAGGGCTTACAGCCCTGTAAGGGCTGACTGCTCCTGGGGCAAGGGGAGGGGCCCGCGTGTCATCCAAGAGAAAACGCTGCCTTCACGGCTGTTTACTGCTTGCTTTCTAATCACCCTGATGTCTTGAAAACCCACCAGTCACCTATCATTCTCCTGCCCGGCAGCTGTTGGATGGTGACCGCTCAATAGTTACTGAGCTGTCCATCCAAATAAACATTATTTGTACAGTACTGAGTATTGGATTGGTTGCTTTTGTGTGGTGAGTGGTTGGAACTTGCCCACAATTTTGTAGGTCCTACCAGCAACTTCAGTGGTTACGTGTGGGGCTGCAGTCAGCAGTTCGAAACCACCAGCCACTCTGTGGCACAGAGACGGGGCTTTCCACTCCCATAGAGAGTTCGTCTTGGAAACTCACAGGGCCAGTTCTACCCTGTCCTAGGGGGTCGCACCAAGTCGGCATCAACTTGATGGCGATGAGTTTGGCTTTGTTTTTATCAGCGACTTCAAGACACCTTAGTGGCACAGTGGCAACGTGTTCAGCTGATAACGGGAAAGTTGGTGGTTGGAATCCACCAGTGGCTCCCTAGGAGAGAGATCACACAGTCTGCTTCAGTAGATCACAGTCCTGCCGAACGAAGAACATGCGTGGGTCCAGATGAGAGCTCTTCACACATGGAATTCAGGCCAGATAAACCCCTTAGGAATAGTAGTGGGAGTAGCCATAGCATGAGGGGAGGGGGATAGTTGGGGAGGGGGAAGGAGGACCCATCACTAAGTTGGATAAATAGCCCCCCCCTCCGTAAGGGTTCAATAACAGACATGTGGGTGAAGAGAGAAACTGACAGTGAAAGATACAAAATAATAATAACAATGTATAATTAATTAATCAAGGGTTCACGAGGGTGGGAGGGGGGAAAAGAGGAGATTATACCATTGGCTCAAGTAGAAAATGTTTTGGAAATAATGATGGCAACATACGTACAAATAAGCTTGATACATTGGACCCCAGGTTGGTGCCAGCACTTCCAATCCAGGTTACAATTCCAGAAACCAGACTCAGATTCCCTAAGGCAGAGCCGGGGACGGGCAAGGCGTGGGGAAGAGCCCCGGGGCCCAAGACGGGCACTGTCCGTTGGTCTGCAGCCCTGTCCACTCTCACTCCCACCCCGCCCTCCCTGGCGTGCTACTGTGGGCATCTCGGACCGCACACGCGCAGGCTTCCTCTGGTGCCACCAGCACCAACCAGCCTTAGGAGCAGGCCCGCTTTGACTCACCTGCAGCTGCGCGGTTCCAGCGGTTTTCCTCTCTGGACAGTCCAGAGACCCTGTCTTCCCGGCCCACTGCATGCGTGCTATTGGCTCCACCGCCACCACTCTGCTGTCCTTCCCTCTCCCTGGTTTCCCAGGAGCCAGACCAGAGAGTCTGCTTTGGGAGAAACTCAGCCAGACATTCCCCCGGGCCTCTCTGCAGGACTCGCTATGTGCTGGGCCCTGGGAGCGAGCCAGTCCGGACACAACACCCTGAGGGCCCTCACTCGGTGCTGTGGCCAGTGGGGCCAGTGGCCTCCTCCAGACCCAGCCAGAAGCTCTGCTTTGGCCAGTCATTTGGCTACAATCTTTTAAAGCTATAGAAAAATTATAATATATTAGAAATAGGAACAACAAAAATGCCTCACCTGACAGCTCCTCCCCAGCCCCACTCTATCCCCTCCCCTGCCCACCCCACTCCGCCCTGCCCCAGTCGGTGGGGGGCTTCCTGTCGAGAGTTGGAAGTGGAGCATGCATCTCGCATCTCGGTCAGAGCAGCAATATGGTGGACTGCCTGGGCACCTTCTTGCTCAAGGTGATGGCCCATTGACTGCACACCGCTGATTGGTTTCTCCCCTGAATCTGCAGCGCTCAGCTAAAGCCTCACTCGGTTGGATCTGGCGCTCCTTGGGGCCACAGGGGTCGGGTGGGGGTGACAAGTCCTCCTGCCCTCCAGGGCATCCTTGTTCTCTGCCCACGTTGTTGCCTGGAGAAGCCTGGTGGTGCGGTGGTCCCAGGACCAGTGGTCAGTGATTTGAAACCCCAGGCACTCCATAGGAGAAACCTCGTCACGCTGAAAGAAGCATTATTTCATGGTTACAAGGCCCCGGAGGGTAAAAGAGGAAGGCTCAGTGGGTCGGCAAGTGTGTTAGTCCGGGTAGACTAGAGAAACAAATCCGGGGAGACATATTTATGTAAGAGAGAACTTTATATCAAAGAGCAATTATATATTAAGGAAACATCCCAGCCCAGTCCAGATCAAGTCCATACGTCTGATATTAGCCCATATGTCCAATACCAATCTGTAAATTCCTCTTCAGACTCAGCAACACATGAAATGACACCTGTGTTAGACAGGGTTCTCTAGAGAGATAAAACCAGATTGCTGATAATTTAATATACTTATTTATAAAGATAATTCAATATATAACAAGAAATGAACTGTTAAATCATATACAGATAAATATATAATACAAGAAAGAAACCGTTAAATTGTAAAGCACTATAAATGGCTCAATTCAACTCACTCCCGTGAGAGAGTTGTGAGAGACTAGCAGTCCTTCTAGTCCGGTCTGCTGCCAGATCTTCCTCTATTTATAGAGAGAGTTAGGCTATGTCAGCACAGCAGCCAATCAGAAGGCAGGTCACCAACTGCCAGCCAGGTCACCAACTGCCAGTCCCCAGCTCCAGCGAT